CAAAAAAGTCTTACTAAATATAAAAAGATTGAAATCATACAAAGTATCTTTTCTGATCACAATGGAATAAAACTAGAAATTAACAGAAGAACCTAGAAAATTCATAAATATGTGAAAATCGAACGACACTCTCTTAAACAACCAATAGATCAAAGAAGAAATCACAAGAGATATTAGAAAACATCTTCAAACAAATGAAAATAAAAACACAATATGCCAAAACTCATGAGATGCAGTTAACAGCAGTGCTAAGAGGGAAACTGATAGCTGTAAATGCTTACATTAAAAAAGAAGAAAGATCTCAAAACAACAACATAACCTTACACCTTAAGGAACTGAAAGAACAAGAACAAATTAAACCCAAACCTAACAGAAGGAAGGAATCTAATCTAATAAAGGTTTGAGCAGAAATAAATAGAGAATTAAAACAATAGAGAAAAATCAACAAAAAAGAGTTAGTGCCTTGAAAAGATGAACAAAATTGACATTTAGCTAAATTAATTAAGGAAAAAATAAAGAAGACTCAAATTACTAAAATCAGAAATGAAAGTGGATACATTACTACTGAACTTATAGAAACAAAAAGCATCATAAAATAGTACTGTGAACAACTGCATGCCCACAAATTGGATAACCTAGATGAAATGGACAAATTCCTAGACATATAATCTATTAAGACTGAATTAGGAAGAAGAGAAACTATTGATAGACTTGTAACTACTAAAGACTTGTAACTACTAAAGAATCAGTGATCAAAAGCCTCTCAGCAAAGAAAGGCACTGCACCAAATGGCTTCACTGGTGAATTTTACCAAACATTTAAAGAACTAATGTCGAACCATCTCACTTTTCCAAAAAATTGAAGAAGGTAGAATACTTCCTGATTCATTCTGTGAAGCCAGCATTGCCCTGATACCAAAGCCAGACAGAGACAGTATAAGAAAAGAAAACTACAGACCAATATCCCTTACGAACATTAATACAAAAATCCTCAACAAAATACCAGTAAACAGAATTCAGAATTCAGAATTCATCATATAAAAGAACTATACATCACAACCAAACAGGGTTTATTCCTGGAATGCAAGGATGGTTTAACATATAAAAATCAATCAATGTAGTATGACACATTAACAGAAGGAA